AAGTCGTTGATATTTTTATGTATGTTCATTAAGGTTTTTCACCGATAATCTATGTGTATAATGTAATTTGTGTCATACTATATTTACACAATTTCTATTTGTTCAACGATACAATTTTGTGTCATTGATCACGTTTCCTTATCTGATATCAATTTGTCGTAATTCATTTATAAATACTCCGAGGTTGTTCGATGGAAAATGGACTTTCTTATTGGATCGAAGGATTAAGATATACTTTCTTATCACTTTGTTAAGTGAGAAAGCATATCACATGTGGCAAACATTTTCTGTTAGTCTGTTCAGTACTGAAATAACTGTAATTATTCTCTTTCCACTTATTTTCTTTATTTCGGAGATTCTCATTTTTCTTTTAAACAATGCTCTACAATTAAATATCTATGATTCGTAGAATCGTAAACGTCGTTGAGTTCCCTTTCGAATTAACTGAAAGTTTTGGTTAAAATCACCAAATAACCGAGCTTAAATAATTTTTGATTCTCTTAAAATATTCCAGGACACGTTTAACGTTTAAATTAAATTTTATTATTCTTGCGTCATTGGAACTATAAATAAAATTAAGTTAATTAAAATTCATTAAAATTCAATTGACAACCTATGGTTTCATTACAAAACTGTTATAATAATTATCTCCAATTACCAAATAGAGTATTCTTGAATAAAAAAATCAATATTAAATTAAACAATACAATGAAATAAAATAAATACACCCAAAAGGGAATATAAAAATACTATATTAACGAATCTTTTAATTTCATTCGAAGAAAGGGACATCGTACCAAAACTCGTTCGCAAATCGTTCCTTATCGAAAGATTAATTTTAAATCATTAATTATCTGTTTGAATATCACGTCGCAAGGATACGTATATTTGCGTTCATAGAAATCTCTGTGCATTTTAATCGTTAGATGATGCATTAATATGAAATTCGATAAGCGACCTTGCCCGTTATCTCGTTGCAACGCTCGACGAACTATGGGGATCTTTGTTCCATGTCCAGAATGGCAGGGATCACGCAAGGATCGTGCAATTGCGAATTGGCAATGAATCGAGTGGCGTGAGTCATAAGAAGGGCAGGTGCTGCACAGACGAAAATAGTATCGATCTATATTAATGCATATACCATGTTGTTCTGTGACACTAGATTCTACGACAGCGACAGAGTGTGGTGCAAACATTTAATTCACAGTCGCAACAATGTATTGTTTTACCAGCATTGAAATTTAAGAGCGATCGGCCCAAAAACTGCTCAATCTGCGTGTCAAACGAAGAGTCTCGTGCATCCTAACCATTTCAATTATTTCAGTAGTTATGCATTCTCTATTCGATTTTCGAAATGATATTCTCAGAAATAAAAGAGAATCAATGCATCTGTCGATGCCATCTTTTTAAAAAACTGGAACCTCATTTTACCAGCTAAAACGTTTATTTCATTTCGAGAATTCAACGAATTAAGGGATTCTTTTGGAGAAATGGGTTTGAAGAACCGGCGTTTCGAAATTCAATGAAGACGAGCTGAATATTACACAAGTTTCTGATATTGATTGTAACTGTCTTTCAAGCGGTTATAAATAAAGCTAGCCTTGATTATCCACTTCTTTCATCGGTATTGATCGGATCACGGTCATCGATAAATAACAATGAAAACATGTTTATTTTCTTTATCGATGGGAGCCACGAGAACCAGTGAAATGTATTCTATTCTTATTAAATCGATCGCATATCTTGCAATTTCTAGCTACAGCGATGGATCGGTGCGACTTCGGAATCCAAACATCGAGCTCATGGATCAGGACATATTGTACCACCTCGCGCTTGGCAGCGAGTCCCATGATCTCGTCGCAATGTTTGGTGACGTCAAGGTAAATGACAAATCGCAGATTCTATTCGCATATCGTTTTCTGTTATACTTTTAGTAAGATAATATTTTATCATTTTCACTGGCAACACTTTCTGGTTCAAGCCCTTCGTGTAGCTTCATACAGTTATGTCTTCATAAGCTTCTTAGTTTCTTTCAAAGAATCTTGAGTACTCTGCACTAGAACTTTTCCTAGTATTTAAACGTCTGTTGCATAGTCATCGTTTCTTGTCATTTGACTAATCTTACTAGATAAAAATGCAGCACGTGCGGATTGTCAGTGATGTAAGCAGTTTACCAAGAGACCGTTACGTCAATGGTTTCGTTTAATAAACAGGGCAGAATGAACTGTTATGGAACAATAAAAATTAAAGTTATGTTCTAAGCTATGTGCGCTGGCGAACTACTCTGCAATTTGCTCTTTAACACGTTCGCGACCAGCGTTTATTTCAGTAGCAATCCTCATGGTTACAACAGTTCACTAAATGCAACAAATTGTCTTTCTAAAATGCAAGTGAAATTCAGAAAAAGAATCGCGTTAACCTGCAACACATCGTGTGTTATAATTTTAGATTCAAATATACCGTGAAAGTCATTTAATTTCACGTCACATACAAAATGTTGAATGTCACCGATTTGTGACGTAGAATGTCACAGAGTCTTACTTTCTGCACGATTAATTATTTTTCTGCTTTCTTTCCTTTATTTATTATTATCAATTAGAATACATTATATTCTATAAGATAAGATAATCTCGTTGACTTTAGTGCTGTCCACAGCACTAATTTGTGACCCTCTAATGAAGCTTCTTCCATCGATGCATCCACTTGAACTCTTTGAGGACGTAGATATGTATATCGTCTACGTGAAGCTTCTGTGGCCAGAGCCAAAAGTTGCAAGGGAATCATTTAATTATTTAAATAGTAAAAAATGTACAATTTTTTGCTTTATAATATGCAAGACTCTGAAGCAAAATTAATTAATATTAATGGATTAATTCATTATTTAATATAATTTCAAGTCAAGTATTCACCATTTTAAGTTAAATTCTTTTTAAGAGAAAGGTTCTTAATATTTTCGAAAATCCTTGTTCGCGAAGAGTTCATCGTTTGTTGAGTCTATTAACGTATATTTTCATTGTTAAAGGAATCTTTTGAAACCAGAGTCTTTTTAAACAATTTATGAACATTCGCAAAACATTTGGCCAGAAACAATGATATTCGGCTTTATTGATCCGCAGTAAACAAAGGTGTGTAAAAAAGGGGTGAGTTTCGTACGCGTCGGTAACCGCCGTCGCACAATGGTTCGGAAGCAGAGGAAACCTTGAGTCCTGAAAGTATGATCTTCACGTTCTCATGTTATGTAACAAAAAAAAGGCTCGTCAGATTTTATGTGACCATAAAAAATCTGGAACGCACAATGTTCGACTTCGTTTTATTCCCTTTCGTGAGAGTTATAAATAGATAGTTTCAACACATAATTTTTATAACTTGAACTCGTTGGAAATTTGTTTTCATTAAGCAACCAGAGGATATCCATACAGAATTGCAGTAGAAAATGCTTCGAATTTAGAAATTAATCTTTTCAAACAAATGTTCGAATGATATAAATAAAAAGAAATTGAGCAAATTGTAAGAGCAGCATTTGAAGAGTTTTTGGTTAGTTTTGGGACAAATGAATTTGAGAAAATTATATAGGATAATGAAATTGGAAATGTACACAGAATTTTAATACAGAGTATGTACGAATGTTCACAGTGCAGTTATCGCGTAGAAACGTGTAAACTATCCAAGGACGAAGCTACTCGTGCGTCTACTGAATACACATATGTTATGTAATTTTTTATAACAAATTACGCAGAAGATTTAATAAATATTCAATGAGTGCAAACTGAGATAAGCAATATCCATTGCAATTCTTGTATAATCGAGAACATAGTCAAAACGTTACTATGTTGCTGATGATGTGTCCATATTAATAAAAAGAAGAATTTTTTACTATACCCTGTATGCTGTAAATTAACTTGTAAATTAAATCAGGTACAGAATACATTTGAACTGTAACGTTAAAAGTAAATAGGGAATTTTATGGTGCACTAAATAGTTTTCGAAATTTTAATTTTCAACTTGGTCGATTTCAATTGTCGAATGCTTCAATGAGTTTAAAAACATGTGGTAATTCTGTTTCAGTTCGTCTGTATGGGTGGCACGCCGAAACGAATGGAAGAATTTGCCTACTACATAATGAAGGAAATAGGTCATAAGCTTCCACCTGGAACGACGCTTCTTGACATTAGCCAGTATTCGTATCGGTACTCTATGTACAAAGTTGGACCAGTAATTTCTGTTAGTGTAAGTATGTATCAAGGATAATGAATACCTTTTTCAGATAGGAAATATTCAATTCGCTACACTGTCTCTATTAAACCAGGAGAGGATTATATGGACTAAGCGAAAGGAGTGAAAACCATTTGACTGTAATAGGTTTCATGTTTGAAAAGTTAAATTTGGAGACATTTAACACTGGAACTACCGAGTAGGCCAAAATGACCCATTCATGAATTATTCTTTTACAATTATTGAAAAGACAGATGCTGCTTTGCGAAATTACTGAGGAAATTGACTTAGCAACACGCAAATTGAATCATAAGTCAATTGAAATCTCAATAGCTGTAGTCTTAGAGTCCCTATAGAAAAATTTGGGAACTTCAGTTTGACTAGTCGGTAGTTCTAGTGTTAAAGTTCACAACAATTGACTGTAATACCAAGCAGTTCCATTAGCGTTTACATAATCATATTGAATTTAGTAAATTCGATTCATTTTTCATTTATCGCAGAAAGTAATTATGAAAGATTAATTAATATCCTCGCGAGACTACGAGGAAGTTATACGAGGCACGAAAATTGTCTCAATGGAATGAGCACGGCGCAACTAGCACAGTGTAAATGAAGCGTTTCCTCTTAAAATCCTATAACCTGGTGCAGTGAAATTTATACTAACGTTGCAAATTTGATAACGACGCTAATGGAATTCTAGTCTGTCCTGCGAATGATCTATTAAAACTGGAAATACTGAGCTACCGTTGATTTTCAGAAGCTGTGTATTAATTCATAAGATCTTGATCTTAACTTTATCTAGATTGAATTTTAACTTAATTTTAATCAATGGACAAGCGAAGAAACGATTGAGAAATGTTAAGTAATTATTCTAACATTGGAAGTTGATAGCTAATCCATTGAGGATTTAATAAAGTTTTAAATGACATACTGTATAAATATCTGTACATGTTTATCACGAAAATTCAACTGGAATTCGCAACTGCATTGTCAAAATGTTATTTTGCCAGTGCAGATTTCTGTTTACTAACTGTACATTGGTTCATGAACGTTCGGACTTTTTCGGCAGTGCCTTAAGAAAGAGTGTATGGAAGGTGAATGCTTTTTTGTTTAGCATGGTATGGGCATCCCATCGGTTGGAATTCTCCTCCACGAGGTGATCAAGCTAATGTACCACGCAAAAGTGAAAGACCCAATATTCTTTAGGATCGGTACTTGCGGTGGAATTGGCCTTGATAGCGGTACCGTTGTAATTTCTGAATCAGCGGTCGATGGAATGTTGAGGCCTTACTTAGAACAGGTAAGATTATGAACAACTTTATAAAAAACCTGTAAAATACTTCAATAAACTGAAATCAACATTGTGTTGTTGTAATGTATATATAGAAGAACTTTCAAGCACAAAAAGTCAACAATAGGATGGGATAGGATAGAATATTCGAGTAATAACATTTTTTGTCTCTATTTAGGTTCATTTAAATGATAGAAGTTTAATATATTTTATAACTAATGAGAAATAATAATATATTATTATAACATATATAATATAGAGAATATTTTAATATTATAATATTATAATATTTAATTATAATAAGAATATATTTTAGGATCGACGAGAAATATTCAAATGGAATTACTGATAATGAATCTTATTTCACAGCCTGTATTAGGAAAATTGATGAGGAGACCTGCTAAGTTGGACCGACAGTTGGCTCGTGATCTGAAGGCACTCGCGAACCGTGACGATCCCTACGATACTGTGATCGGTAAAACGATGTGCACCGACGACTTCTACGAAGGACAGGGTCGGCTGGACGGTGCTTTTTGCGAGTTCACGGAAAACGACAAAATGGAGTATTTAACCACGCTGAAAAACGCCGGCGTCGTTAATATAGAAATGGAATGTCTGGCTTTCGCAGCTCTCACGCATCATGCTGGTATCAAGTCAGCTGTAGTTTGTGTGACACTACTAGATCGACTTAAAGGCGACCAGGTATATATCCTGTACATTGTTTCAATAAAACTTCGATGCTTTGTACCTTCACTGGCCAGGCTTAACGCCTCTTTAAGGAATATACATCCATTGAAAAATAGTAAAATTTCTTATAACATATCAAATTACTTGAACATATTGTGTTATTCTCACTAGTATCGTTGTGCCTGTTTTTAGCGGATAGCAGTATACATAAATTCAGTGAGCATCACAAAATATATTGGACACAGATTTTGGTATAAAATGTTTTCTCGAGATGGTCTATCAGATAATCTATCCTAAGTTTAACTCAATTTAACATTAGAACTACCAGGTGGGCCAAAATGACCCATTCCTTGACCTTTTCTTTTGTGATTACTGAAGAGGTATGAATATCTCTTTGAGAAATCATTAAAGAAGCTGATTAAGTAACGCCTAAGCTGAAATATAAACCAATTAGTTAAGGATACTTCTAATCCTCTTATTCCATTATGCTTTTTAGTAATCATAAATATTAACCAGTGTAGAAAATAAATGCGACATATTGTTTGCTAATAGTGTATAAGGTAAAATAGCACGCACAGGGACAAGTAAAATATGTTTTAATCATTTTTGTAAAGGTCATAATTTTTTGTGTAGGTAATGACACCGAAGGAGGTCCTGAACGAATGGCAGTTTCGACCGCAACAGTTGATTTCACGTTACATAACCAGATACCTTCAACAAAAAGGTCGCCTTTCCCTTGAAGGCCACGGATCGATGAGTGTCAAGAGCCCACGTCGATTCAAACTGGTACAACAGGAATCTAAAACCTACGATTAAATCAATAACGCGTCACAAATTATATCGATATGTCGATATATATACATATATATATACATAATGTGTTGATAAAAGTAAAACGCGATGTCAGAATTTAATGAAAACGTATGGATGCGTTGGGTTCTATCTATGATATATTTATTTACATCAAAATCATAACAAAAGATATCGCGATTACTACAAAGAAATCCATAATTGATAAGAACCGTAAAATTCGTTTAGTATTTCTTCTTTCCTAAATTTTATCATAATTGCATAAGGAAGCTCAGAGGATCGATAATCCTATTAGTTTTATCGCAATCGTGCGGTAACTCAAGTACAAAACAGACAATGTATTTATTTGAGCAATAAGTTCGTTCGACATTTGAAAATGTCTACATGTCAATAAATATTAATTTAATTAACTGATGATCCATGGACGACGTTTACTAAAAC